AAACTGCATCAAAATAATTTGACTTCCGACTCATCTAAGAAAGATATTAAAAGATATTCTTCGATTAATAGAAAATATAAGGCAAACATTAAATAGGGTCTACCTTGAAATAAATGGCCATATCTTCGTCAAAAATTGCCCCATTTCAATTATAAAGGTGTTTTTAGAATTCACTCGACCTTTGGAACAAAACTGCATTAAAATAATTTGACTTCCGACTCATCTAAGAAAGATATTAAGGGATAATCTTCGATAAATAGAAAATATATGGAAAGCATTAAATAGGGTCTACCTTGAAATAAATGGCCATATCTTCGTCAAAAATTGCCCCCTTTCAATTATAAAGGTGTTTTTAGAATTCGCTCGATCTTTGGAACAAAACTGCATTAAAATAATTTGACTTCCAACTCATCTAAGAAAGATATTAAGGGATATTCTTGATTAACAGAAAATATATGGAAAGCATTAAATAGGGTCTACCTTGAAATAAATGGCCATATCTTCGTAAAAAATTGCCCCATTTCAATTATAAAGGTGTTTTTAGAATTCACTTGATCTTTGGAACAAAACTGCATTAAAATAATTTGACTTCCGACTCATCTAAGAAAGATATTAAGGGATATTCTTCGATAAATAGAAAATATATGGAAAGCATTAAATAGGGTCTACCTTGAAATAAATGGCCATATCTTCGTCCAAAATTGCCCCATTTCAATTATAAAGGTGTTTTAAGAATTCACGCAATCTTAGGAACAAAACTGCATTAAAATAATTTGACTTCCAACTCAGCTAAGAAAGATATTAAGGGATATTCTTGATTAACAGAAAATATATGGAAAGCATTAAATAGGGTCTACCTTGAAATAAATGGCCATATCTTCGTCAAAAATTGCCCCATTTCAATTATAAAGGTGTTTTTAGAATTCAATCGATCTTTGGAACAAAACTGCATTAAAATAATTTGACTTCCGACTCATCTAAGAAAGATATTTAAAGATATTCGTCGATTAATAGAAAATATAAGCCAAACATTTATTATTATTAGGGGGGAAGCTGCACCGCGACCTATTTGATCTATTGTGCCCCCCTTCTGAGCCTATAGCTCTTCCATCAGCCCCAACTCCCTTACGAACGTGAGGATCTTTGTTGGGTTGAGGTCTACTATGTCTTTATAATTCAAAACATGCGCACCTAGGATGCTGCTTCTTTTTCTAATTAAGGCGACACATTCTACCAGGATGTGCATCGAGGATTCCTCCTCTCTTTCACAAAACCTGCAGAGATCGCTACTATATATACCCAATTTTGTCAGGTGACTCCTTAGTCTACAGTGTCCTGTCAATAGACCGGTAAGTATCCTAAGGTTGTTCTTTCCCATGGTTATAATCTGTTTAAAACGTACAAGATTATAACCACCAAGGAGGCATCTGGCTTGTCGGAGTCCTACTGCCTCTGACCAGCTCTGTTTCCGTCTCTGTCTCTCTTCATTTCTAAGTTCCAGTCGTATAGTGTGTCTCTCTTTCTGACCCCATTCTTGCTTGCTTATCAGCCGCCTCGTTTCCCGCTATGTCCCTGTGACCCGGGACCCATCGTAGGGTGAGCCTGTTGTGAGTCCCGAGCAGGTCTAGCTTTGAACGAACTTCATGGATTACCTTCGACTATTTTGACTATCGGATAGGATGGATATATCCGTATTCCGATAGTTACGTTCTATGTTGATGTCCGCACATCTCCCTATCGCACACACCTCAGCCTGAAATATGCTGGTGTGCGTTCCCAGGGATTCATGGTAGAATACCCGAGGACCCACCACTCCAAGACCCGTGCCCTGATTCGTGAGTGATACATCGGTGTACCATTTTATGGTGTGCGGTTTCATGGGATGGACTTCATCCTGAGTTGTCCATTCCCTTTTACTACTCATACAAACTGAGAAATTTCGCTCGAATATGTATTCGGCTACCATTTCGTCCCTAGGTTGCATTAGCAGGAGCAGTTCATTTGAAAGGAGTTGGGTATCTTTATGGCTTAGGATATGATTGCCCCCAACTCCTTCTGCTGATATCCTGAGAAGCGTCGCTTTCTGCTTGAGCCTTATAATATGGTGGAGTGGTGTGAGCTCCATTAAGGCTTCAAGGGCCATTGTAGGGCAGGTGCGCATAGCTCCTGTCATACATACGCAGGCCATTCTTTGCAACTTTTGTAGTTGTTTCTTCACGGTGATCATCCGCGCCCTGTCACCCCATGCAACCACCCCATAGGTTAACATGGGTCTTACTACCATCAGGTACAGCCATCTTAATATTTTTGGTGATGTATCCCATGATTTACCGGCAATAGTACGACATGTATAAAGCGCCCTAGAGCACTTTAATATCGTATTTTGCACATAGGTGGCAAAGTTAAGCCTGCTGTCAAATGTGACTCCCAGGTATTTGACCTCCCTACTTGTTTCTAGTAGGGTCCCTGAGAGCCATATTTGTCTCATCCTCTGTAACTTATGTCGTCTGGTAAAGGGAACGATGACTGTTTTCGTAGGGTTTAGGTTGAGTCCAACCTCCCTACACCAGTCATACGTTATCCTTATCCCTGACTGGACTATGTCACAGAGTGATTCTTCAAATTTGCCTCGCGCTATGATAACAATGTCATCGGCATAACCTTGACATTGAATACCACTGTTGGCAAGTCTGTTTAGTAGTTCGTCTACTAACAGACTCCAGAGTAGCGGAAACAACACCCCCCTTGGGGACAGCCTTTGGTGGTTAGGACTGTTACAGTGTTATCATGTAATGATGCCGTGGCTTGTCTGGACCGTAGCAGTGCCATTATCCATCTGCTGGTGGTATGGTCCAGGCCTCTTCTTTCAAGAGTAGCATTGATTGCATCGTGCGATGTGTTATCAAAGGCACCTTCTATATCTAAGAAGGCGCACAGTGCTACTTCCTTATTATCAATTGCCGCACTCAAAGTACGTCGCAGCTGATAAAGTGCTGTGTCCGTGGACCTGCCTACTCTGTATGCATGCTGCGTTGGGTGCAGCGGCCTTTGCTTAAGCAAAGTGCTTCTGATTTTATAGTCCACCAGCTTTTCCAACGTTTTCAGTAAAAACGATGTTAAGCTGATGGGTCTGAAGGACTTTGGGCTGGTAATGTCTTTCTTCCCTGCCTTGGGGATGAAGACTACCCTAGCTCTTCTCCATGCGCCCGGTATGTATCCGAGGGCTAGGCTACTTACTAATGCTTTCCTAATACGGGAGAGAAGTATTTCCTGTCCCGTTTGAAGGAAGGCTGGCGATATGCCGTCCATTCCAGGGGGACTTATAGGGTTGGAATGTTCCAACTGCCCAATTAAGTCTCTCCTTGAGACTGTCGACTTGGCGCATGCCCAGTCGACAGTTGACGGCCTGTATCTACTTTCCCTCTCGATAGCCTCTTCCTGCAGGGGTGTACTTCCTGGGAAGTGTGTCTCGAAGAGTAATGCTAGTTTCTGCAGATCAGTGCTCGTAAAGGAGTTATCCCCACGCTTCAGTGCTAAGTTCGCATCAGGCGCTCGTTTCGCCAGTACTCTATGGAGCCTGGCGCCTTCGCTTGTGCTAACTATGCCTTCGCAGAAGTTTCTGTAATTCTTCCGTTTGGCCTTCCTTATCTCCTTATTATAGGAGGTCAGGCTCTCACGGTACTGCTCCCATATTCCGTCCCTCTTTGCCTTATTGAAGAGGCGACGTGTGGTCACGCGCAGCCTTTCTAGGCTGTCGTTCCTCCATGGGGCATCTTTTTCCATGTACTTTTTCCCTACCGGGCAGTTATCCTCAAATGCCTTGGTTATGCATTTATTGAGGTAACCAATAGCCCTGTCAAGCTCTAGCGGCCTTCTGGGATTACCAGACAGCCCGTTGGCTAGGGAAAGTCCTAGGGTCGACTTGTACCCTTCCCAGTTGGTTTTTCTAGGGTTGCGACTTTGTGTGCTACTATCCGTATTTAATTTTAAGTTAAATAGGATAGTCCTATGATCAGACATGGATTCCTCTTGGGAAACATGCCAGTCCCTAAGGTGAGGCTTTAGGGACCGATTGATCAGGGTGATGTCTAGCACCTCTTCCCTGATCCTGGTGACAAATGTCGGTGTAGATCCGACATTACCTAGTTCTAGATTATATTTGAAAATAAAATCAGTTAGGCACTCACCCCTTAGATTGATGTCACTGCTGCCCCATATAGTATGGTGCGCATTGGCATCGCATCCGATGAGCACCGGCATCTTCTCTTTTCTGCAGTACTCCACCAGCTTCTCGATCTCTGGTGGCGGGCAGGGTGCATCCCCTGCGAAGTATGCGGATACGATAACCATAGAGACCGCGCTGCCCTTGGTGTAAACCAGTAAGGGAACGCAGTCTCTAGTCAGGAATTCTGAAAGGATAGTAAAGTTAATACTTTTCCTTACCATGATACAAGCTCTGGGTGCTGGATCTCTCCGATCCCAGATTACCTTTGAGTCGACTGTGAACAGGCCCTTGATGCCATCGTTCACCCACGGCTCCTGTACCAGGGCCAGCCCAAGGTGTTTGTTGGTAAACATCCTTGCTAAGACCGCCGAGGCTGCCTTAGCTCGGTGGATGTTTACCTGGGCTAGCCCTGTGTTGATGACATTTGACATCTACTTTTGGGGAGGCTCCAGCTGACACGGTGAATGGGGCCTGGAGCAGTCCCCGTCACCGCTGCTCGTCATAGTGACGTCAGCTTCAGCTGCATCCTGCAGCTCCTCCTCCAGCTCCTGCGAGGACAGGGGGATATCGTCGTCCCCCAGCATCTCCGCCTGGCAGAGCGTCGCATCTGCCAGTTCTTCGTCATCTGCGAGGTCCTCCGACGGGTCGGTGGGCTGCGCAGTCGGACTGCCCTGCTCCGGGCAGAGTGTCCGATGTGGTGGTGTTGCCCACCGAGACATCCTCTCTGCCCGTTGGAGCAAGTTGGGGCCTTTCTGCAGTCTCTTTTCTCAGTCGCTTACGGGGATGGTCCCATAACGGAAAAGACCTGGTGCCCCTTCTCCACAATAACATTCTTGGATAGTTCATCTATCCCGATCACCAGGAGGGCTCCTCCACCCTCGTTCCTCCTGGAGATCACCTTCCAGGTGTCGGTCTCGATCCTGTTCTGGTTCCTCAGCAGAGCCAACAGGGATTCGGTAGACCGAGCTGCACTCCTGGGGCAGAACAGCGTGATGCAGTGGGGCGACGGTATGTCGTCCCCCACCTTGCACTCAAGGGGCACGCCCTTCCACGACTGTAGCCTCGAAGTTGCAATCCTTAGCTAATCGGCTGAGGTCTCATCGGAGCATTCAATTACCAGGAATCCAACCCGGAAGTGAATGCCCACGAATGAGACCGCGACATCTCCATCAGACGCAATGACTTCGTCAATGATGGCCTCTTCCAACACAGATAAATCTCCGTGACTGAGCATGACCCTTGGGAAGCCCACGGGCAACACAGCCACCTTTACCTTTTTTGCCATGTCTGCATAGGACAGGCGAGGCTCGGTGGGTGTCGGCGAGCTGGGCTTCGTGGCCGCTGCACGCGATGTGCTTGGGCGCAGGTCCAGATTACCTGCCCCATTGTTCTTCAGCACCTTTGCCGCTGCCGAGCCGCGGGCAGCGCCCACAACCCCCGGGCACATCCTCTTGGGGGTGGCCACCGGAGGTGTGAGACTGCTGCTCCGCCTTTTCGAGGCTGGCGCGGGTGCTGCAACCTCCTCCCTGGGCTCTTTGGCCTTTTTCAGGGCTTCATCGGGGTTGAGTCCCTGCTGGAGGTACCGGAGGTACCACTTGACCCTTGAACCGCAGAGATTTCTCCGGTTCGGGTCATCCAGCCCACCGGGTTGACCCCTTGGTGGCAGGAGCTCTCCCTTCCTCTTTGGGCGCTGAGCGCCTTGCCTCGCGGTGTTCGGTGTTGGGTGCGGTGGTCTGGGTGTACCAGCCATCGGTCTCCCATGCCTCACAGCCGGAGTTTCTCGTGCCTGCGGCACTCTGCTATTTGTTGCTGGAGCAGCACGGTGTGGAGGATTGTCTACCACACGCAAGGGTCGTTCTCCGTCAGGGGTATGACCCTCTAATTGTCTTGCGACAAGTTCCGCAGGGAGATCCTGCGATATCTTTATATATTGTAACTTTTCCATGGAATCCCACGAGCTGCGGAGAAGTAAGTGTCCGCCCGGGCAGAGATCCGCAATACCCGGGTAAGGCTGAATTAGAACAGACGGTCGCCATTTGCCTGAGCTCACCGTTAAAGACTGGGCTAGTTTTTGATCCGGGCCTCCAACCAGGCTGACTCTCGGCACGGTTCGAATAACGCCTTAGTCCGGCCCGGAGTGAGATGAGGGGGTAGGATGTGGTAGGTAGTTTTGTGGGGAGACAGGGGGATGTGTGAGGCTATACTTTAGAAGGCGGCGACACAAGCGCCTTGTCGGTGCGATCGGCATAATCGCACCCGCTGTTTGTCCGGGACTGCTTATTTACGAAAAGTATCGTATTATTCGCACCTAACCTCCCCGAGGGGAGGCCGTTCGCTATCCGCAACCCGCGACCCGCCTGGTGGCCTCAGCTCAGCCCCATCCGAACCATCCCACAAGTTCTCAGACCAGGAAGCCAAACATTAAATAGGGTCAACCTTGAAATAAATGGCCATATCTTTGTCTCAAATTGCCCCATTTCAAATATAAAGGTGTTTTTAGAATTCACTCAATCTTTGGAACAAAACTGCATTAAAATAATTTGACTTCCGACTCATCTAAGAAAGATATTAAGGGATATTCTTGATTAACAGAAAATATATGGAAATCATTAAATAGGGTCTACCTTGAAATAAATGGCCATATCTTCGTCAAAAATTACCCCATATCAATTATAAAGGTGTTTTTAGAATTCACTCAATCTTTGAAACAAAACTGCATTAAAATAATTTGACTTCCGACTCATCTAAGAAAGATATTAAAAGATATTCTTCGATTAATAGAAAATATAAGGCAAACATTAAATAGGGTCAACCTTGAAATAAATGGCCATATCTTTGTCTCAAATTGCCCCATTTCAATTATAAAGGTGTTTTTAGAATTCACTCAATCTTTGGAACAAAACTGCATTAAAATAATTTGACTTCCGACTCATCTAAGAAAGATATTAAGGGATATTCTTCGATAAATAGAAAATATATGGAAAGCATTAAATAGGGTCTACCTTGAAATAAATGTCCATATCTTCGTCAAAAATTGCCCCCTTTCAATTATAAAGATGTTTTTAGAATTCGCTCGATCTTTGGAACAAAACTGCATTAAAATAATTTGACTTCCGACTCATCTAAGAAAGATATTAAGGGATATTCTTGATTAACAGAAAATATATGGAAAGCATTAAATAGGGTCTACCTTGAAATAAATGGCCATATCTTCGTCAAAAATTGCCCCATTTCAATTATAAAGGTGTTTTTGGAATTCTTTGGAACAAAACTGCATTAAAATAATTTGACTTCCGACTCATCTAAGAAAGATATTAAGGGATATTCTTCGATAAATAGAAAATATATGGAAAGCATTAAATAGGGTCTACCTTGAAATAAATGGCCATATCTTCGTAAAAACTTGCCCCATTTCAATTATAAAGGTGTTTTTAGAATTCACGCAATCTTTGGAACAAAACTGCATTAAAATAATTTGACTTCCGACTCATCTAAGAAAGATATTAAGGGATAATCTTCGATAAATAGAAAATATATGGAAAGCATTAAATAGGGTCTACCTTGAAATAAATGGCCATATCTTCGTCAAAAATTGCCCCCTTTCAATTATAAAGGTGTTTTTAGAATTCGCTCGATCTTTCAACCAAAACAACATTAAAATAATTTGACTTCCGACTCATCTAAGAAAGATATTAAGGGATATTCTTGATTAACAGAAAATATATGGAAAGCATTAAATAGGGTCTACCTTGAAATAAATGGCCATATCTTCGTCAAAAATTGCCCCATTTCAATTATAAAGGTGTTTTTGGAATTCTTTGGAACAAAACTGCATTAAAATAATTTGACTTCCGACTCATCTAAGAAAGATATTAAGGGATATTCTTCGATAAATAGAAAATATATGGAAAGCATTAAATAGGGTCTACCTTGAAATAAATGGCCATATCTTCGTAAAAACTTGCCCCATTTCAATTATAAAGGTGTTTTTAGAATTCGCTCGATCTTTGGAACAAAACTGCATTAAAATAATTTGACTTCCGACTCATCTAAGAAAGATATTAAGGGATATTCTTGATTAACAGAAAATATATGGAAAGCATTAAATAGGGTCTACCTTGAAATAAATGGCCATATCTTCGTCAAAAATTGCCCCATTTCAATTATAGAGGTGTTTTTAGAATTCGTTCGATCTTTGGAACAAAACTGCATTAAAATAATTTGACTTCCGACTCATCTAAGAAAGATATTAAGGGATATTCTCGATTAACAGAAAATATATGGAAAGCATTAAATAGGGTCTACCTTGAAATAAATGGCCATATCTTCGTCAAAAATTGCCCGATTTCAATTATAAAGGTGTTTTAAGAATTCACGCAATCTTTGAAACAAAACTGCATTAAAATAATTTGACTTCCGACTCATCTAAGAAAGATATTAAGGGATATTCTTCGATTAATAGAAAATATAAGGCAAACATTAAAAAGGGTCAACCTTGAAATAAATGGCCATATCTTCGTCAAAAATTGCCCCATTTCAATTATAAAGGTGTTTTTAGAATTCACTTAATCTTTGGAACAAAATTGCATTAAAATAATTTGACTTCCGGCTCATCTAAGAAAGATATTAAGGATATTCTTCGATAAATAGAAAATATATGGAAAGCATTAAATAGGGTCTACCTTGAAATAAATGGCCATATCCTCGTCAAAAATTACCCCATTTCAATTATAAAGATGTTTTTAGAATTCACTCGATCTTTGGAACAAAACTGCATTAAAATAATTTGACTTCCGACTCATCTAAGAAAGATATTAAAAGATATTCTTCGATTAATAGAAAATATAAGGCAAACATTAAATAGGGTCAACCTTGAAATAAATGGCCATATCTTTGTCTCAAATTGCCCCATTTCAAATATAAAAGTGTTTTTAGAATTCACTCGATCTTTGGAACAAAACTGCATTAAAATAATTTGACTTCCGACTCATCTAAGAACGATATTAAGGGATATTGTTGATTAACAGAAAATATATGGAAAGCATTAAATAGGGTCTACCTTGAAATAAATGGCCATATCTTCGTCCAAAATTGCCTAATTTCAATTATAAAGATGTTTTTAGAATTCGCTCGATCTTTGGAACAAAACTGCATTAAAATAATTTGACTTCCGACTCATCTAAGAAAGATATTAAGGGATATTTTTCGATAAATTGAAAATATATGGAAAGCATTAAATAGGGTCTACCTTGAAATAAATGGCCATATCTTTGTCTCAAATTGCCCCATTTCAATTATAAAAGTGTTTTTAGAATTCACTCGATCTTTGGAACAAAACTGCATTAAAATAATTTGACTTCCGACTCATATAAGAAAGATATTAAGGGATATTCTTGATTAACATAAAATATATGGAAGGCATTAAATAGGGTCTACCTTGAAATAAATGGCCATATCTTCGTAAAAAATCGCCCCATTTCAATTATAAAGCTGTTTTTAGAATTCACTCAATCTTTGAAACAAAACTGCATTAAAATAATTTGACTTCCGACTCATCTAAGAAAGATATTAAGGGATATTCTTCGATAAATAGAAAATATATGGAAAGCATTAAATAGGGTCTACCTTGAAATAAATGGCCATATCTTCGTAAAAAATTGCCCCATTTAAATTATAAAGGAGTTTTTAGAATTCTTTAGAACAAAACTGCATTAAAATAATTTGACTTTCGACTCATCTAAGAAAGATATAAAAAGATATTCTTCGATTAATAGAAAATATAAGGCAAACATTAAATAGGGTCAACCTTGAAATAAATGGCCATATCTTTGTCTCAAATTGCCCCATTTCAATTATAAAGGTGTTTTTAGAATTCACTCAATCTTTGGAACAAAACTGCATTAAAATAATTTGACTTCCGACTCATATAAGAAAGATATTAAGGGATATTCTTGATTAACATAAAATATATGGAAAGCATTAAATAGGGTCTACCTTGAAATAAATGGCCATATCTTCGTAAAAAATCGCCCCATTTCAATTATAAAGCTGTTTTTAGAATTCACTCAATCTTTGGAACAAAACTGCATTAAAATAATTTGACTTCCGACTCATCTAAGAAAGATATTAAGGGATATTCTTGATTAACATAAAATATATGGAAAGCATTAAATAGGGTCTACCTTGAAATAAATGGCCATATCTTCGTAAAAAATCGCCCCATTTCAATTATAAAGCTGTTTTTAGAATTCACTCAATCTTTGAAATAAAACTGCATTAAAATAATTTGACTTCCGACTCATCTAAGAAAGATATTAAGGGATATTCTTGATTAACAGAAAA